TGGGCCGGGCCGGGTACCCGCTCTTTTTTTATTTTGGAACCGGCCCGGGTCCTTAAAAAAAATTACCCGGACCTACCCGGACCGTTTTATGGCAACAAAAAATGGAACCGGCCCGTTTTGGACCCGAACCGCCATTACTCGGACCGGACCGCGGTTCCAAGACCCGTTTGCCCACCCCTAACCCACATCCCTCTAATCCACAACAAACAACAACAACACCTGATACACAACTACCACTCCTGCCCAATCTCACTGAAGCTGATTCACCTTCTCAATCTGATCATGAGGATCCTGACGATCAAGTCATGGAAGCAACACAAGCAACTTCACCAACACAAGCACCAACAACACAAGCAACAACTACTCTGACAACTCCAGTGCACTCCACTCCTCACCAAACTACATCTGCTACTTTTGAGGACCCGAATCATCCTATCATAAATCCAATCCCTCTTACTCATGAGTGGAAATTGACGAAGGCTCATCCTGTAGAACAAATCATTGGAGATCCTAGTCGTGGAGTCTGCACCAGAACTGCAACAGCCAATGAATGCCTCTTCTCCTGTTTTATTAGCCAGTTTGAACCATCCAAAGTCTCCGAAGCATTGGCAGATCCTGATTGGGTGATTGCTATACATGATGAACTCAATCAATTCAACAGAATGAATGTTTGGACACTCGTGCCTAGACCCCAGAAGAAAAAGCGGGATGAAGAAGGTGTCATTGTGAGAAATAAGACTCGATTGGTTGCTAAGGGATACAACCAGCAGGAGGGCATAGACTATGATGAGACTTTTGCACCCGTAACCAGAATTGAAGCTATACGCCTCTTTCTCGCTTACGCAACACACAAGAGCTTCATGGTCTATCAAATGGACGAACAACATTTTTAAATGGAGTTCTTGAAGAAGAGGTCTATGTCACTCAGCCAGAAGAATTTGTAGATCCAAGATGTCTGAATCATGTATATAAGTTGAATAAAGCGCTCTATGGATTAAAGCATGCACCGAGAGCCTGGTATGATGTCTTAGCTGAATTTCTGGTGGAATCAGGCTTCTCGAAGGGAAAGATTGATACTACACTGTTCATCAAGCGACATGAGACCGATATCATTCTGATTCAGATCCACGTTGATGGCATCATCTTTACCTCTTCAAATCTGAGCCTGTGCAAGAAGTTTGAAGAATTGATGAGGACGAAGTTTGAAATGAGCATGATGGGAGAGCTGAATTTCTTTCTAGGTTTGCAAGTGAGATAGCTACCAGACGGGATTTTCATCGATCAGTCAAAGTACATTCTGGAGATGCTGAAGAGATTCAATATAGACGGTACATCATCCATGAGAACGCCCATGTCCCCCAACAATAAGCTTGACTCAGACCCCACAGGGAAACCAGTTGATGCTACTCATTATAGGGCTATCATCAGATCATTGATGCATCTTACCTTAAGCAGACCTAACATTATGTTCTCAACATGCTTATGTGCCAGATTTCAGGCTAATCCAAAGGAGTCCCACTTAACCGTTGTGAAGAGAATCTTGAGGTACCTAAAAGGCACGATCAACTTGGGCCTTTGATATCCCAAGAATTAGGGTTTTGACCTCATTGGGTACTCCGACGCGGATTTTGCTGGTTGCCGAATGGATCGGAAGTGTCCATCGAGAAGTGCTCAATTTCTAGGAGAAAAGCTAGTCTGTTGGTCCTCCAAGAAGCAGAACTGTGTGTCAACGTCTACAGTCGAGGCAGAATACGTAGCGACTGCTGGTTGTTGTTCACAAATCATATGGATGAGGACTCAGCTCAAAGACTATGGCTTCACATTCAATCATATTCCGATCTACAGTGACTCCCAGAGCGCAATTGCCATAACCAGCAACCTCGTTCATCACTCGCGCACCAAACACATCGACCTGCGCTATCATTTCATCAAGGACCATGTGGAGAAAGGAGACGTTGATCTGTATTTTGTAAGCTCTGAGATTCAACTGGCTAACTTGTTTACTAAGGCACTGGATGAAAAGAGATTCCAGTTTCGGGTATCCAAGTTAGGCATGTTGAACCTCGAGCCTGTGTAATTGCGTGTCTCAACTGGTCCGAATGGGCCCTTCGATGATTATGTTTTTAGGCCTGTCCGGCCGCGCATCGTTACAAGCTGGCAGAAAAATATTTTCCCGGGCCCAAATTTGAAGACCCTCTGGTATGACGAATGAATTCGGTGACAACCGTGACACGAACAGAACAATCGGAGGCTGAAAAATGCGTTCGTAGTTGCTCATCAAATTGTGGTATTGCAACGTAAACGATTTGGCTCGTTTTCTTTAATTACCTAAAGAGCTGCATCTCTAGAACCGGTATTCAATGCTTCAGCGTAGACTTGTGCGCTGGATTGTTTACAGCCTCTGGCGGAATGTCCGTCTATCTGGAACTGACCCCATTCGCAGACATGACCTTCCTTCTCGATATATTCCTTGACGTCCGTTGCAGATTTTGCACCTTGAATATTTGTGTGGAACGCTCCCTTCCGACCCAAAACTGTTATGTCAAAGAATCTGTTATTTGTGCAGCAGAACCGTCCCTCGAACTGGAGATCCCTATAAATTTTAATGAATTTAAGGGTTGTGGGTTAGTGAAGATTTTAGATAATAGAGAACTTCATTTTTGGGAACGGAACACCTCGGATATGTGAGAAAATAATTTTTGGAATTGAGCTTATTAAATCGGTTTGGGGCCATTTGCGAATTGTCACTCTTTGGTGTCACTCTTTCGCCTCGGAGGAAAACTCTAAAATGAATGGGTGATAAATGGACAATATATAGGGGGGCACCCTGTTAATATTACCAGGATACCCTCTCTTGGCTTTATATAGTGGGTCTCGCTCGAGTATGAGGAAAAGAAGGAGAACTTATTGTGAGTAGATTTAAGGAAATAAGTGTCGCCTTAAAAACTATTCTCATACGATGAGCGTTGCATCATACTCATCTAGGGTTTCTGTCATATCGGGATAAGAACTCAGGATAAAGGAATGGGTGTGACTAGATTGTAAAGTGAAGCATCTATTTATACAAAAAGGGAAAATGGAAACTAATAATCCAACCTTTTAGCGGTCTTCTGACAGTAGTCCCACCTTTTCGTTATTCATGAATAATCCAACCTTTGCACCTCATCTTCATTGACTGGTCCCTGATCGGTTGATGACCTGCTATTCCAAGTTATTTTCTTATCTTTGCTTACCATTATACCATAAATCTCACCTTTCACAAAGATAATATTTTGCAAAGATAAGAAAATAACTTGGAATAGCAAGTCATCAACCGATCAGGGACCAGCGAATGAAGATGAGGTGCAAAGGTTGGATTATTCTTGAATAATGAAAAGGTGGGACTATTGTAAGAAGACTACTAAAAGGTTGAATTATTAGTTTCCATTTTCCCTTCAAAATGTGAAGCAATTGGGTACTTAAAGGCTAGAAAATGACCAACCAAGTGGATACTTTTTAGATGTGAAATGAAAAACCAACTTGGTCCTTACTGGATGTGAAAGGACCAAGCAAGTGTGTGCTAATTAGATGTGAAATGGACAACCAAGTTGATACTCATTAGATGTGAAGTGATAAGGCAATGGGTTATTAATTCAAACCTAATTTTAAAAATAATACAATTGCCAAAAACAAATAAGCAAATATGAAATACTAAAACACTAATTAAATACATTTTTTTTAAAATATAGAATTAAATAACCGAAACTAAAATACGAAATTACTAATGCAACCATACATGCCCTAGTCAAGTCTATGAAAGTTGTCTTCTCCATGTGCAAGTGACGACATCGCTAGTCGGGGCATCTTGATCATAGCCGAGAATTACATTTTGCTGCTCTCTTAACCTCTTTGCTTCCTCAATGAGTACTGACTTAGGTCCATAGTTACGACGTCTATATTCCATAGTCTTGTAGTCACATCAGCATTCGCCTTCGCCGACTCATACCTCTCCTCTCTTCTCTTATACATGAACTCAACCCGTCTTCGAATTCTTGTTTTTGGCTTTTTTCTTTCCTTTTTGTTTGTCAAGCGCCTCTGGAAGACGTAGAGGACCACTTGCACCGTCGAAAGGAGAGGATCCACGACCTCCAACAAATATGTCAGGAGTGACTGAAGAAGTTATGGCACGGGTATAAAGGGGGGAGTAGTATCATATTCTTGATACCACTTCGGACATGCTTGAAGGATATGCCAAGCATTATCAAGCTTAAAGGCTTTGCCACGATTGTCATTTACAAATATTGTTTTTGCAGCATACTCCTACAAAAGTATAAAGAACATATTAATATTTAGATGTTGTTACTAAATATTTACATTGTATATAAATATACAAACACACACTTACATTATATTTTTTTACTAGTAAAGTATAAAATGTAAAACACAAACCAACTAGTATATAAGTATATGTATGTAATTTATTTACTAGTAAAAAAATATAACGTAAATGTGTTTTTGTATAATTATATACAAACAAGGATAAAGAGGGTAGGATTTTATCAAGAACATCAATTTTTATTAACCGTTTTATTAAGCGGAAGGCTTCTATTAAGTTTGATATTACATCTGTATCAATTAATCTCAAATTAATTAAACCGGTCATTTTATTTTATTGAATTGATATATAATCTTTAACCAACATGAACAATATAATTTTCCCATATTTATTAGTATAAATTTTTATTAAACACATAGTGTCCAAAAATCATACCTTCTTTAGCAATTCAGATCACCGGAGTCACTCACCTCGCCCAAACTCACTTCTCTCTGCCAACAACAACATCACGGGAAACACGGCTAGGTGCTAGGATACTCGACAGATCTTTCCGAAATTACTTTAGTCGAATATAACATCTACACACTCTTTATGTTTAATATTAATCTATTACTAATAAATATATGGAGATTATATGTATGCTAGCTAAAGATTATTGAAAAGAGAGACTTGAAGAGACATGGAAAGAAATTCAAGCTTTATTGAATTCTTGCGTAGGGAACTTCCTATGATTCTAATGCCTTCTTATGGTTACAATGAGCTTCTTATATAGGAGTTTTCCATAGCGGTACAATTATTACATGATAGAAATTAAATAATGCATAAATAGTAAATACTCCATTACTGTTGTAGTGTTGTACATTTGTAAAGTAATGAATAGTAGTCCACACAATAATTTGCCAAATGTCTCTTGACATCTTGTTTTGGGAATCCCACTTGGTTTGCAATGATAATATGTGTCCTTTTGGTGGCTCCCATCCTCCATTTGTTGGTTCCATCTCCCATTTTTGCTTCATGATAGATAACAAGTGTCTTCTTTTCTTCCACATAATATCTCCATTATTGTTTGGTGGCTCCATCTTCTGCATCTCTTCCGAATAATATCTCTGACATAGATCTTGATATGTCTTCTTTTCCTGTAGGAATTTTGAAATGTATCATTGGTAATATGGATTTTGTAATATGAGCTTACTGTAGTGTGAGCTACATTGGGCCAGTTAATATGACTGTTTGGGGCTAACCCATATTTTGTAATATAGGTACTGATTTACATCAGACCTGTTGTATGATAATATATCCCAAGTTTTACATTGTGCCTTTTATAGGAACGGATCAGGACATCATTCCTTTTTTATTATGGGTTTATCAGTGGTAGTATTTTTTATAGTAATTATGGGCCTCTTCTTCCTTTGCCCATTGAGGTTGGTATATTGTCCTAATGTTTCTTTAGCATGTTTATGCTTCAAATCCATAATTCTGTTATGCATATCTGTTAGTGCCATGGTGTCTTGTGTTAAAATATCATTATTATAATATATTGTTATTATTTCTTCAACTTCACCACCTTGACTGGTTGTAATGACACATACTTTTCTTGCTCGTATCATTTCTTCCAGTTTTGATTTTAATGTTATTAATCCAATAGCTCTTTTTGTACTTATCTATTCTTGAAATTTATCAATATTACATGGAATTGACATATTAAGACTAGTATTATCTCCTTCTATGCTAGTATTTTTTCCAGTTTTAAATATTTGACAAAGTAATATAGGTTTGCCTACTAAGTCTGTTGAGGCATCAAATATCTGTATTCCATATATGCATTTTCCAAAAGATTCCATCATTGATTCAACTGATTTTAAAATTATTGTTGGTAATTTGATGATATAAACTTTCGTCTACAATTATTTTATCAATACATCCATAGGTAAATAGTTTTTGAACAACGTCAGGGTTAGCATTTTCTTTACATAAAAATCTTGGATATTTACTTGTTTTATTACTTCTTAATATTGTTACATTTGTTTTCTAATCATAAAATTTATTAACTTTTTTCATATGTTGTAATATATTCTTTAGGGTATTTCATGGTATCTGACATGGTAATAGAGGTTTGTTTTTGTGGTTGAGAGGTTTGGGTAGGTAATTTTGGTGATATAGTCGGTGGTAGTGTAGCAAGCTTTGATGAGAATGTTTCTGAGGGCTTTGGTTGTAAGGTTTTCACAGTTTTATAGTCTTTGATGGCTTCAGTAAGGCTGTTAATTAATGCAGTGCATTCTTGTAAACCTTTTATTAATATAATATGTTTTTCTTTGATCTGTTTTAAAGCTTGTTCCATATACTATTCAAAGTTATTATTAGATGTCATTCTTTTGTTGTTATAATTTCATTATTAAAACTATATCTGGAATTAAGAATGGTTTAGCTGATTTTTTGAGCATGTATCACCATGACATCCAATAATAACTTTGAAGAGTATATAGAACGAGCTTTAAAAGAGATTAAAGAAAAACATATTATATTAATAAAAGGCTTACAATAATGCACTGAATTAATTAACAGTCTTACTGAAGCCATCAAAGACTATAAAACTGTGAAAACCTTACAACCAAAGTCCTCAGAAACATTCTCATCAAAGCTTGCTACACTACCACGACTATATCACCAAAATTAACTACTCAAACCTCTCAACCACAAAAACAAACCTCTATTACCATGTCAGATACCATGAAATACCCTAAAGAATATATTACAACATATGAAAAAAGTTAATAAATTTTATGATTAGAAAACAAATGTAACAATATTAAGAAGTAATAAAACAAGTAAATATCCAAGATTTTTATGTAAAGAAAATGCTAACCCTGACGTTGTTCAAAAACTATTTACCTATGGATGTATTGATAAAATAATTGTAGACGAAAGTTTATATCATCAAATTACCAACAATAATTTTAAAATCAGTTGAATCAATGATGGAATCTTTTGGAAAATGCATATATGGAATACAGATATTTGATGCCTCAACAGACTTAGTAGGCAAACCTATATTACTTTGTCAAATATTTAAAACTGGAAAAAATACTAGCATAGAAGGAGATAATACTAGTCTTAATATGTCAATTCCATGTAATATTGATAAATTTCAAGAATAGATAAGTACAAAAAGAGCTATTGGATTAATAACATTAAAATCAAAACTGGAAGAAATGATACGAGCAAGAAAAGCATGTGTCATTACAACCAGTCAAGGTGGTGAAGTTGAAGAAATAATAACAATATATTATAATAATGATATTTTAACACAAGACACCATGGCACTAACAGATATGCATAACAGAATTATGGATTTGAAGCATAAACATGCTAAAGAAACATTAGGACAATATACCAACCTCAATGGGCAAAGGAAGAAGAGGCCCATAATTACTATAAAAAATACTACCACTGATAAACCCATAATAAAAAAGGAAGAGAAATTTGTTGATTTAGTCCCGTAACTTATAGCTATACCCGATATTGGTCCTGTAACTTTATTAACTTGCAGATCACATCCCGTAACTAATAAGTTGGTGCAATTTTGGTCCTTCTCTGTCAGAACTTACCAATTTCGTCAGAAAAGACACATCACCTGCCACATGGTATATTATTTGGAACTCATTTGCTGACTCAATGTTGGCCCTTAGCTAGAGTTAAAAAAATATTTCTTCTTGGTTGCACCAGGAGCATTTTGAATGAAGTTTAAAGCTTTTTGGATTCATGTTTTAAGAATAAAGCATTTGAAATGTTACATCATCTTCACTTCTCACATCTTTAACATGAGAAAGACCAGGAGCAAAAACACTAGCCCCACAACAACTATGAGGAGCCTTTTATTTTTAGCCTTCAACTTTACAACATCTTCCTCTTTTGAATTGAGTCTTCTAACCAATCCCGGAATTATCATCGTTCAACGATGGCACATAGGTGGGCCCGCCCATTCAAAAAATCTGCAACCTTCTGTCTGTATCAAAACAAGATGAAGCTTAACTTACTTTTTACTACTTTGAACACAAAAATACATTATCAAATGCCCCCAACAAATAGAAGATGGTAATTTTATTATCAGAACCTAGCTTAAATCATAAAATACATTTTAATTTTCAAACAAATTTATTATTCAAATGCTATTCTTAAATTTCTAGTTTATTTAGTAAAAAAAGAAGCAAACAATGTAAATTAAAAAGCTGAAATTCTTACTCTGCTTCTAGCGCACACGAAACCTCCTTCCACGATCGTTATCAGTCCAAGAAGTTAGAAGAGAAACCTTTTTACCACAATCACACTCCATAAACTTTTCTCTGATCGAGAACCGTTACTAGCAGATTTGAAGAATAACTCACTCTCTCGACTTAGTTCAGGAAAAATCTTCAGGTAGAGTTATATGTTCTTCCCCCCTTTTGCAGATCCGATAATAGGCTTGGTATGGTTGTGCACGCACTTAGCGAAGAGCTTTCGTACTCTGGTTTTTTAACTCCAGCTAAGGGCCAATATTGAGTCAGCAAGTGAGTTCCAAATAATATACCATGTAGCAGGTGATGTGTCTTTTTCCGACGAAATTGATAAGTTCCGGCAGAGAAGGACCAAAATTGCACCAACTTATTAGTTACAGGATGTAAATTGCAAGTTAATAAAGTTACAGAACCAATATCGGATATAGCTATTAGTTAGGGGACTAAATCAACAAATTTCCCAAAAGGAATGATGTCCTGATCCGTTCCTATAAAAGGCACAATGTAAAACTTGGGATATATTATCATACAACAGGTCTGATGTAAATCAGTACCTATATTACAAAATATGGGTTAGCCCAAAATAGTCATATTAACTGGCCCAATGTAGCTCACGCTACAGTAAGCTCATATTACAAAATCCATATTACCAATGATACATTTCAAAATTCCTACGGGAAAAGAAGACATATCAAGATCTATGTCAAAGATATTATTCGGAAGAGATGAAGAAGATGGAGCCACCAAAAAATAATGGAGATATTATGTGATAGAAAAGAAGACACTTGTTATCTATCATGAAGCAAAAACGGGAGATGGAGCCAACAAATGGAGGATGGGAGCCACCAAAAGAACACATATTATCAATGCAAACCAAGTGGGATTCCCAAAACAAGATGTCACGAGACATTTGGCAAATTTTTGTGGAGACTATTATTCATTACTTTACACATGTACAACAATAATGGAGTATTTACTATTCATGCATTATTTAATTTCTATCATGTAATAATTGTACCACTATGTAAAACTCCTATATAAGGAGCTCATTGTAACCCTAAGAAGGCATCAGAATCATAGGAAGTTCCCTACGCAAGAATTCAATAAAACTTGAATTTCTTTCAAGTCTCTCTTTTCTATAATTTTTAGCTAGCATACATATAATCTCCATATATTTATTAGTAATAGATTAATATTAAACATAAAGAGTGTAGATGTTATATTCGACTAAAGTAATTTCGGAAAGATCTGTCGAGTATCCTAGCACCCAGCCATGTTTCCCGTGATGTTGCAGTTGGCAGAAAGAAGGGAGTTTGGGCGAGGTGAGTGACTCCGGTGACCTGAATTGCTGAAGAAGGTATGATTTCTGGACACTATGTGTTTAATAAAAATCTATACTAATAAATATGGGAAGATTATATTGTTCATGTTGGTTAAAGATTATAGATCAATTCAATAAAATAAAATGACTGGTTTAATTAATTCGGGATTAATTGATACAGATGTAATATCAAACTTAATACAGGCCTTCCGCTTAATAAAGCGGTTAATAAAAACTGAAGTTATTGATAAAATCCTACCCTCTTTAGGGTCCTAAAACCCTCTTTATCCTTGTTTGTATATAAATATACAAACACACATTTACGTTATATTTTTTTACTAGTAAATAAATTTCATACATATACTTATATACTAGTTGGTTTGTATTTTACATTTTATATTTTACTAGTACAAAAATATAATGTAAATGCGTGTTTGTATATTTATATACAATGTAAATATTTAGTAACAACATCTAAATATTAATATGTTCTTTGTGCTTTTGTAGGAGTATGCTGCAAAAACAAAATTTGTAAATGACAATCGTGGCAAAGCCTTTAAGTTTGATCATGCTTGGCATATCCTTCAAGCATGTGCGAAGTGGTATCAACAATATGATACTATTCCCACCTTTATACCCGTGACATCACTTCTTTAGTCACTCCTGACATATTTGTTGGAGGTTGTGGATCCTCTCCTTCCGACGGTGCAAGTGGTCCTCTACGTCGTCTAGAGGCGCTTGACAAACAAAAGGGAAAGAAAAAAAAAAGCCAAAACAAGAATTTGAAGACGGGTTGAGTTCATGGATAAGAGAAGAGAGGAGAGGTATGAGTCGGCCAAGGCGAATGCTGATGCGACTACAAGACTATGGAATATAGACGTCGTAACTATGGACCTAAGTCAGTACTCATTAAGGAAGCAGAAGCGGTTAAGAGAGCAACAAAATGTAATTCTCGGCTATGATCAAGATGTCACGACTAGCTATGTCGTCACTTGCACATGGAGAAGACAACTTTCATAGACTTGACTAGGGCATGTATGGTTGCATTAGTAATTTCGTATTTTAGTTTCTGTTATTTAATTCTGTATTTAAAAAAATGTATTGGTTTCCTATTTAGTGTTTAATTATTAGTGTTTTAGTATTTCATATTTGCTTATTTGTTTTTGGCAATTGTACTATTTTTAAAATTAGGTTTGAATTAATCACCACTTGCCTTATCATTTCACATCTAATGAGTATCAACTTGGTTGTCCATTTCACATCTAATTAGCACACATTTGCTTAGTCCTTTCACATCTAGTAAGGACCAAGTTGGTTTTTCATTTCACATCTAAAAAGTATCCACTTGGTTGGTCATTTCCTATCCTTTAAGTACTCACTTGCTTCACATTTTTGTATAAATAGATGCTTCACTTTACAATCTAGTCACACTCATTCCTTTATCCTGAGTTCTTATCTCGATATGACAGAAGCCCTAGATGAGTATGATGCAACGCTCATCGTATGAGAATAGTTTTTAAGGTGACACTTATTTCTTCAAATCTACTCACAATAAGTTCTCCTTCTTTTTCTCATACTCGAGCGGGACCCACTATATAAAGCCGAGAGAGGGTATCCTGGTAATATTAGCAGGATGCCCTCCCCCTATATATTGTCCCTTTATCACCCATTCATTTTAGAGTTTTCCCCTGGGGCGAAAGAGTGTCACCAAAGAGTGACAATTCGCAAATGGCCCCAAACCGATTTAATAAGCTCAATTCCAAAAATTATTTTCTCACATATACGAGGTGTTCCGTTCCCAAAAATGAAGTTCTCTATTATCTAAAATCTTCACTAACCCACAACCCTTAAATTCATTAAAAATTCTAGGGATCTCCATGCCAACGGAGAAACCCATGTGCATGCCCTGTTACAGTTCGAGGGACGGTTCTGCTGCACAAATAACAAATTCTTCGACATAACAGTTCTAGGTCGGAAGGGAGCGTTCCACCCAAATATTCAAGGTGCAAAATCCACAATGGACATCAAGGAATATATCGAGAAGGAAGATCATGTATGAGAATGGGGTCAGTTCCAGATAAACGGACATTCCGCCAAAGGCTGTAAACAATCCGCCGCACAAGTCTACGCTGAAGCATTAAATACCGGTTCTAGAGATGCAGCTCTTTAGATAATTAAAGAAAACGACCCAAATCGTTTACGTTGCAATACCACAATTTGATGAGCAACTACGAACACATTTTTCAGCCTCCGATTGTTCCGTTCGTGTCACGGTTGTCACCGGATTCATTCGTCATACTAGAGGGTCTTCAAATTTGGGCCCGGGAAAATATTTTTCTGCCGGATTGTAACGATGCGCGGCCGGACAGGCCTAAAAACATAATCATCGAAGGGCCCAGTAGGATTGAAAAAACGGCTTGGGCGAGATCACTCAACCACATTATTATTTAAGTGGGCATTTGGACTTCAACAAGTATGTATACTCCAATGAGGCCTGTTACAATGTCCTTGATGATGTCACTCTGCACTACCTCAAACTCAAGCACTGGAAGGAATTAATTGGGGCCCAAAGAGACTGGCAGACCAATTGCAAATACGGCAAGCCTGTTCAAATAAAAGGCGGTATTCCTTCCATCGTGCTGTGCAATCCTGGGGAAAGTTCTTCGCACAAAGATTTTCTTGAAAAAAAGGGGAATGTGTGTCTCCGAGATTGGACCTTAAAAAATGTAGAATTTGAATTTGTCAAATTCAATGGATTCAAAGGAGACGACGAATAGATCTCCCTTACGGGTGCAGTTACAATCTCCGAATTTCATGTCATAAATATGGATTTTTGCATTGTGGATACACTCACTACGGAACAATGCAATATAGGTGTCTACATATGGGTGATACCCAATCCTCTTATTTCAAAATCTTGGATCATCAAACACTAACTTCTGTCACGGAGCTGGACTTTATGAAGATACAAATCCGATTTAATCACAATGTCAGACAAGCTCTTGGATTACAGAAAGCATGGATACATTTGATGATATGAACGACATTGAAGCCATCGACTTCAGCATTTGAGAATAGATGTAGGTTCCATATAATGCAGTATTTTGTGGACATGTTTCAACGTTACATCATTGATGTAGAACAAGCAAAAAATATCCAGTTTCGAATTTATTAAATACATATAGATTATTCATTGTTGTGCACATACATTATTACAATATACAATCAACTCACCACACTCAGTTTAATATATTTATTACAAATTACTTCTGTCCGGCACCGTAGGTGGATGTTGAATTCTCCTCTGGCTTAGCACTCTTAGCAGATACATGCAATAATGCATACGACAAACAATCAAGCTAAAACTGTAGGGCGTTCTACCAAGCTATAAATGTGACACTGTTATCACATCACGAAGTTGATATGTCCCGGAGTAAAATAACTTCTTTTCCGGTAAAGCTTGCAATTTCCAGAGTTCAATCCATTAGGATTCCAATTTGTGAGACTAAATATTCAGTGTCTCAATATCCTCTACAACCTTAAATAGAGTTCGTGGGAAGCCAAAATGTTAAGGATATTTGAGTGGTTGGGATTGGGTGGGGCTTTTACTTTAAAAAGTGACATCATATCACCTTTATGTCATTCACAATGTCCCCCACCACATAAACTCGTTTGTACGTACACATTTCAATTCCAATTTCAAACATTAAATTCATATGCGCTCAATTTGGGCCTGTTTTATTCCTCCGTGGTACAAAATTCTCAAATTACCCCGAGCAGGGCCCAACATATAAAGTCGGGGAAGGGCATCCTTGTAATATTAACAGGATGCCCTCCCCCTATGTATTGTCCCCTTATCACCCATTCATTTTAGAGTTTTCCTCCAAGGCGAAAGAGTGGCACCAAAGAGTGACAATTCGCAAATGGCCCCAAACCGATTTAAGCTCAATTCCAAAAATCATTTTCTCACATATCCGAGGTGTTCAGTTAA